CTTCAGTAACCAACAAGATGCCTAAGTGGAAGGTACGACAACTGCCTGCATCGCAAGAGCAGCAACCCTAATTACTATTTATATATGCTCAGATAGGTTAGAGATAGTGAAAGTACCTCAAGCAGTATTCAAATGCATGACAATGAATAGTGTGACGAGAGGATGATAGCTCTCCATCTAGTGATGATAATGAAGATGATGAACCTGGACCCAGCAGAGGAAGGTGTGAACAGCACTGACTTTAGAAAACATTTGTCCCAGCCACAGCGAATGGGTTAAAAAATTTTATTATCAGCTTATGGAATTCTGAAATGCATCTACAATCATTTTTCTGTTTTTTTATTTATTTTAGCAACAGAACGATTTCTTGGCCTTGGAATAATAGGTGTGAAAGAGCTAATGAATAAACCAAGCCAGAAGCTGATCATTCCTCTTCAGTCTCAACCAATAGGTAATGATGCTGTAACGGGCTCCTTAACAGTGGAGGTTAGTTGAATCTACTTTTTCACATTATAGAACTTTTAACTGTGTTCAAAGTTTTCACTGAGAGACAAAATATAATTGCCATTAATTATAAATAAGTTAAAGGAAATAATAGCAAATTTGTGGTCACAAATGTTTGTACTTAGACAAACGAAAAAAGTAGGTTTTGGAATACTGCACTTTAACATTTATTACTACTTGTCTGTTCTTTATAAACTTGTTTTTGTTATAAAGGCAACATGCATAAATTGAAGGGATTGTCAGATTGATAAATGTTTACTTGTTATTAAGTTGAATACTTCCTAGTATTTTAATGTTAACATTTCTGGTGCAGCTTTATAGAGATTTTCTTCTGGAGTATAGAAATGGTTGTACTTATGTGCATTACAGTTAAGAAAACATAAGGTTAACAGTTAATTTTGATCATATAATACATACAGGATATTTTCGTCTTACGTTCTAAATTGTACAAATTCAGTTCCTGTTTATGGATGGAGCAGAAGTGCCGGTGATCGGTGATACTTCAGAAAAGCCAAAAGAACTTATCGAAAGTAACAGCAGGATAACGCAAGGAGGGACTGTAATCACCACTACTACATTTAGAGCTTCAAAAGGCTTAGAAGGTATCAATTGTTTCTGTTCCTAAAACCCATTATTGTTTTCTAATTAGGCATAATGATACGTATAGTGATGCCTGAAACATTACTACATCTGTCACATCCCAGTTGGCCTGATGAGCCCTCGTATTGGATTGGATGTGAAAGACCTAGATCGGTTGACATACTCTTCTTTCTTTTCAACCATAGATTTTTGGTTTAAACTGTTTTTGTATTCTTGTTTATTATCTGTGAAATGGTAACAGATGTGACTTTGGCAATAAATATCAAACATTAGTAACATTGGTAGTGGTACTATGTTGAAATATGTTTATTTCTATCAACACATTTTGTTATAAGTTTTAATTTCTGGTTGGTCTTACTGTATTTGCCTTAGGTTCAGATGAAACTTTGGTAGATACAGATCTACAGAACTTTGACAGTAAAAAGAAAGTCGAGAGTCCTAGTATGATTGACGACAACACTTTGATAATTCATAGCATTCATGGGGTAAGTTTGGGTAATCAGGCATCGTTATGGTTTTTGTTTAATTAGAAATAAGAAAAAATGATATTGAGAGAGGTTGTATATTTTGTTTTTCTTAAAATAGAAAATGTCTGTGTGGATGATTGATGTGGTATCATTGACTTTGCTGACAAGAAATGGAAAAATTACATTTTTAGACATATGTTTAGTGTTGAAATTCATCTGATTTTATTTAACACTGTTCAGATTTCTACATTTCATAACATCTTATTTTACCAAAACCTTTATGCTACTTAAGCTTAAATCTTTTTCACATAAACTTGTTTATTGGGTTATGCAGATGTGAGTGTATTTCAACATAATTATGGTGACATAACAGAACACACTAACCAGCCTTCAGAAATAGAACAACAAGTAGAACACACTAACCAGACTTCAGAAATAAAATAAGAAGTAGAACACTCTAACCAGACTTCAGAAATAGAACAAGAAGTAGAACGCTCTAATCAGACTTCAGAAATAAAACAAGAAGTAGAACGCTCTAACCAGACTTCAGAAATAAAACAAGAAGTAGAACAACATAATATGGTGACAGATGTGAGTGTATTTCACCATAATTATGGTGACAGATGTGAGTGTATTTCAACATAATTATGGTGACATATGCGAGTGTATTTCAACATAATTATGGTGACATATGCGAGTGTATTTCACCATAATTATGGTGACATATGCGAGTGTATTTCAACATAATTATGGTGACATATGCGAGTGTATTTCACCATAATTATGGTGACATATGCGAGTGTATTTCAACATAATTATGGTGACAGATGTGAGTGTATTTCAACATAATTATGGTGACAGATGCGAGTGTATTTCAACATAATTATGGTGACAGATGTGAGTGTATTTTAACATAATTATGGTGACAGATGTGAGTGTATTTCAACATAATTGTTTTTTGAAAACATTTTTCTGGACAACAATTTACGGAAAGTTAATGTTAACCTTGAAATATTAAAATAATTTTAAATGTTTATACAGTATTTTAGTACAACTATAAGTATATTATTATTATTAGCTGTATTATCTTATTGTATTTGTTTTTACAAAATTGTTTTGTAGTTTTGCGATATTCCTACACGTACACATATTTCTTACCATGTTGTAATATGGGACTACAAAAAAATGTTTTATTTTTAGAAGATTTTATTAAACTTTCTGAGATAACATTGTCTTCAAACAAAAGTAAATTCAACAATTTTTAAATTAAAAAGTCTGTATTTATCCAAGTATTACTAACACAAACCTAGAATTAACTACAGTGGTCAACATCAGTTGATTTAATATTTTGATTTGGACTTCCATGGACAGTTTTGATTTTATGATATATTTTTTATTCAGACAGTTTCATAAGTGTTAATGGGAGTAATATTTAGTGTCATGTTCTTCCCTATGCATGCTGCCATTTGTGTAGGAAGTGATCCGGCCAGTCTTAAAGGTATGTTTGTAACATTTAACCATACCCACATCTTAACAGTGATAAGTATTTAATTTTGTGTATTTTGTAGTTTAACCATACCCTCATCTTAACTGTGATAAGTATTTAATTTTGTGTATTTTGTAGTTTAACCATACCCTCATCTTAACTGTGATAAGTATTTAATTTTGTGTATTTTGTAGT